AAAAAATAAAAAAAAATTAGTACAAAATTCGAATTACCAATCAAACCGCCATCTTTAGAACAACATATTAGGGCAACATTGAAATGGAAAATGTTAATTGAGCGATATTTGACCTCACCTTTAGTCCCGATATAGAGCACGAACCGTGAATCAACGCTACAATCTCGTCGTCGTCTCTGCAGAAATTAGGGCAAAATGAAAATAGAACGAACAGTGAATCAACACTACAAGAATCGTGCCACGAACTGACTAGAGTGACAAAAATGGAAATGGAATAGAGCTTACCGGTGACGGAGATTCCTATGGGGTAGTCTGAGCGACGAGGTGCAGCTGCAAGTAGGGTTCGAAATGGCCGATCTTCAACCCTTTTGTTTGGTAAGAAATTGTAAATCATAGTAACTTAAGGGGTAATTATGTCTTTTGGCAGCTGATTTTGAGGGCAAAATAGGTATACAAAAAACGGGATTAAATTATCACACCATTGGCTCGGGATTTTATTATCGGAAACTGACGGATTGCCAGCTGCCACGTGTGCGCCACGTCGTCAAAATCTCGTCCCAAACCCGCGAAGTAAACGACGGATAGTCTGGACTAATTGTCTAATCCTGTCCCAAACCCTCAAAGTAAACGACCCCTAAATGACATCTTTCCAATGAAGAGAAGAGGGGGTGCTTTAAGCGAGGATGACGGTTTTTCCAGCTTTAAAAACTTAATTAGTGGTCTAGGAGCATCTGACAGTAATTAATATAAAATACAATAGACCAATGAGTTACTTGTTGAATTGTCATGTAAATTATTAGCTTATAAAGAATTAAAATATTTATAATACGTACTAATATAAAATATGATAGACCAATGAATTATTTGTCGGTCTTTCATGTAAGTTAAAAATTTAGAAAAAAAAATATTTATAATATATGTGACAAATTAAAGACAAACCAAAAAGTCGCTTCAACGGCTGAGCTGCTTAGGCTTGGTGTATCAGAAAATGCATCATCTGTCATGTTATATTTTAATAATCGGGGGATCAGGGCTGCAGTCCCACACACGTAAAGTGCACCATAGTTGGGTGACCCCAAATGAAGCCCAAGTGAGGTTTCATCCCAAAACCAATTGGTGATAGAAATAGTAGATCACTAGGTGTTATATTTTAATAATCGGGGGATTAGGGGTGTGGTCTCATACACGTGAAGCGCACCATAGTAGGGTGAACCCACATGAAGCCCAAGTGAGGTTTCATTCCAAAACCAATTAGTGATGAAAGTAGTAGCCCACTAGGCTAATAAACTATGCTCATTTACCCTATCAAATCAATGTGAGACAACTCACAAGTGATATTCCAACATGTCGAAACATGCCTGTAAATTCTTAACTTATAAAGACAAATAAAATAATTACAATGTTTATTATTATAAATTATAATGATGAGTCCACAAATCATCTGTCGAACAAAATTGTAAATTGTTAGTTTAGAAAAAAAAAATCTATCAATATATAAAAACGCGAAGGATTTACCTTAAATAGTAGGTAAAATCCCGCCTAATTTATTTTAAAATTACGAGAATTTTGATTTTTTTATTTTTTTCTTAAAATCCCACAAAGCATATGTGATGATTTTTTAAATATTAGATATTAAAATCCATCTTAGTTCTACTACATAAAGATAAACATAAAATGCGTGAAATTTTGGATATGTTTCACAGGCTACTAAATTGGTCAATATTTGTTTTTTCATATTTATCTAACTGATTTATTTTTAATTTTGAAAAAAAATTTCATATTATGTTTTATTTATATTTGGTGTACATAAAATGAAAAAAAATGCTGGTTGAATGCTCTAGCACTGTAATTTATTATAAAGAAAACAAAATGTCGGTTAATTTACAATAAAAACTACCGGATTTATAATTCTAAAAAATTTAAAGACAGCGGAATGCTATATGTGAGGAAGTAAAGGAGAGGTCCAAGGCTGGTTTACTTTTTTTTTTAATGATTTGATTTTATCAAAACACACATTCCTATAAAATCACCTACAAATTGTATGTTTATTAACAAATAAAAATCACTTACAAATTGTATGTTTATTAACAAATAAGGCCGATAATGTGTCACGACAATTTAATATGATTTATAATTTATTCATATTTTTTTTAATTTCTTTTGTAGGACGCAACTATTATTTTATATTTTATATTTTCTTTTGTAGGTTTTTTGATATCATAAAGAATGCGGTTAATTTGTATATACAATTAAAAATATGAAAAAGTTTTTTTGCATAATCGTAACTATATATATACAATAAAAATATGAAAAAGGTTTTTGCATAATCGAACTATGTGTCTGATTTAAATATGCGTAAAATATGAGAAAGTTTTTCGCATAATCATAAACTATGTCTTCGATTTAGATATGCGTATGTATATAGTTTCATTTGAATGTACAATTATTATAATATCCCATAATAACATTTATGAATCAAAAAGATATTGTATAATGAGATGAAAAAAAAATATAACTATATAATTGCATGAAAACGTGTCCGCCCATAAATAAAATGGGGTAAAACGGAATATCTGCCTAAAACTACTAATCTAGGTATCAATATTGCGGGGGCCTTCACCTTTATTCACTTAAACACCCCATCAAATGTTATCACATTAGCCAAAATATGTAGTTCTCGCCGCTATTGGACTCCTCACATAATGCCTACCATCAGACCACATAAGCTCCCCAAAGCTATACGGCCTCTCGGCACCAAAAAGAGCCGCATAATCATCCCTCTCCACACTGACACCTGATCTCTTGTCCTTTATAGTCACCCTAAACACCTTCTCCTCCCCGATTTTCTCGAATTCCAGCACGTTTGGCTCAACCGAGACCCTGAAGCCGGGGGGATGGCGAATGCGTGAGGCGTACTTCCCGGGCTGGCCCACATTCTTCACCTTCCGGGTCACGGTGACTGAACCGTTGATTTTTGGGACCGTGATTGCCGGGTTGTTGAAGTCGAGGATGCTGTAGTCCTCCGGGCAGTGGTAGTCAGATGTGGCGAATTGTGCCAGCCTGCTCCCGTTGTAGCCGATCCCACAGAGGAAGTCAATGTAGTCGTTGACCGTCAGGTCGTAGACCAGGCCAGGGTCCTGGGCCCGGTTCGGCCTGATGTGGCCTGACCCATACCCGAAGGGGGTGTCCTTCGAGTGGGTAAAGTTGGACATCGGGTTACCCGTGTTGTCACGGATCCTCGCTGTTCATGAAAATGAATTCAATCAGTTATAACTGAAAGAAACAAAGATATTTTTTGTAGATATATAACACAGAAAAATAAAGATGCAGAGAGTGTTTTCTACCGGTTGTCATGATGGCGGATCTAATTGCAGCCGGGCTCCAATCGGGATACAACGTCTTGAGCAGGCCCACAACACCCGCAACATGGGGACAAGACATAGAGGTCCCAGACATCACGGCGAAAGGTGTCCTGCGGTGGTCAATGTCCAACCCCGTCGGGCTTATTGCCTCGGTAAAAGAAGCTATTATGTTGACTCCTGGAGCCGCAATATCGGGCTGGACAAAAGCAGAGAATTAGAGCAGAGTATTTTATGAATGATTATTTGAAATGAAAAAGAAAAAAATAATAATAAAAAACTTGAAAAAAAAAACCTTAAGGATTTCCGGGGTGACGACATTCGGTCCCCTAGAAGAGAAGGCGGCCATAACCGGAGCCGGTTTTATCTTCAGCACCGCAGTTGGAGTCCTAATAAGACCTTCTGGATTCCTGAAAGCACAAAAGTTTTGTCCATCAAGTATTGTTTAGAATGAAAATGTATGAAAAAAGAGTGATGATGGCTATTCAATCAAGAATCTCATACTTGGTACTAATTAAATAGGAAAAGAGAGCACGGCCGTCGGCATAATCGATATGTGCAGCCGGTAGAAAATGTTGTTCAGCCGTGATCGTAGATCCCCAAATCTCATCGTTGCTGAGAATCATCCCAACAGCGCCTGCTCGTGCTGCCACCCAACCCTTTTCAAGGTGTAGGTTTTCCCCTCCTAGGCAAACAACTATTTTGCCCCTCACCTTTTTCGGGTCCAACGTACCCGGCAGGCAGAGTAAACTGAGCCACGTTTCGGATTACAGATTTATATACGTTAGCCACCTTAAAAAGTAATATAAAAATGGAAAAAGGAATACGTACGCAGCTCCTTCGGTTGCATTAGCAGCTTTAGCATTGGCGGCGCTAATAAGCGGGTAGAATTTGTTCTCCGGCAACGGTCTCGTAAAGCTTGTACCCTATTACAGTTGCAAATAATTAACACATTCAATCTTTATCAACATGTATGTATATGTATATTGGTGGATGATGTTAGAGTTAAATTACCGTAAACACCCTTCCGTCCCTCAACTCAACATCGGCGTGAAACTCGCGGTCGAGTGTGCTTGCCCCGACAGTTATGATCCAAGGGGCCATGTTCGTCACGGACTCCGCCACCCCGTAGTTCCCGGCAGAGGCCACCACGACGACCCCTCTCCGCACGGCGTGGAAGGCGGCAATGGCGATAGTGTCTTCGTAATAGGGGCTAGGCATCCCGCCGAGGGAGACCGACAGCACGTCCACCCCATCGTGGATGGCCTCGTCGAAAGCCTTCATGATGTCGGCGTCCACGCAGCCGGTGCCCTGCGAGGTAGACCAGCACGCCTTGTAAGCGGCAGCGCGGGCTCGGGGGGACCCGCCCTTGGAGGTACCGTTCCCGACACTAAACACGCTGGCCCAGGGGACGAAGCTCCCGGCGGCCGTCGAGAGGGTGTGGGTCCCGTGGCCTACCGAGTCGCGCGCGTTCTGGAATGATGAGTTGAGGGGCTGCCCCGTGTAGGCTTCGTACCCCTTTTTGAAGTACTTGGCCCCAATCAGTTTTCTGCATAAAATTTAATTAAACATTATTCATTTAACTATTAATACGAAATTAATTAACATAATAAAAGAAGTTAATAATATTATTAATGATTCTTGATCATCACAGCATGCACGTACCTGTTGCAAAGATGTTGCTTATGGCCTTCAAACCGACAGTCACCTTTCCATTTGGAAGGAATGGGACCAATCCCATCGTCACTAAAGCTCTTTGATTCAGGCCAAACACCTAATTAATTATACTATTTAGTTAACATTTGATGTAAAGATGAACATTACAACTGATTAATTACAAACATAATAAACCATGAAATGTAAGTTACAGACATAATTATTTACCCGAATCGATTGTCGCAATGATGGTATCTTCGCCGTACCGAGCTTTCTCCCAAAGGGAAGACGGACTAACAGAGCCATCCTTTTCGAGTCCAAGAAACTCCCATGAATGAGTTGTGTGCAGCTTTCTCTCTTGGTTTTCTAGTACTGATAACACATTTGGATGCTCTACATTTATGTAACCATAAGTTAATTAAAAATCATTATAAAATAAAATTAATTATATAAACATGATTAAATAGATTATATGAATATTAATTATATGCTTGTATATATATATATATATATACTAGCAATCTCAGCAGCTTCTTCTTCTTCAAGAAGTGCAGCAAAGCCATTTATATGCCTCTTGTATGAGTAGAACATCGAATCTCTAGCCTTCTGCTCGCTGCATGATACGAATCGGGCAACAAAATCAGACGAAGCACATTAATTTGCGATAATTATTTCATGATTTTTATTATTTTTTTTAAAAAAAATTGCAATTATATATACCTTCCCAAGAATGAAGTGAGCAACTCTGTGTGTGAATCTTTCACACGCTGGTAATCAGCAGTAGTGACATCAGGACCATGATTATGTGCCCCCAAGTAGACAATATATGACTGATGATCAAAGAATACATAAGAGAATTATTAACAAATCAAACTTTTTGGAGATTCTACGGTCTCGTTACAGAACCATTCTGTCTGGGTTTGTAACCATTAGACCAACTATCCACGACGGTTACATAATGATCTAATTAGCATTTTCCCTTACGCGTTTATATATACAACGAAATTGTGTCGTAAACTAATTAATGAGGAGCATGCAGGACGATATGAATTGTATATACCTTTTGAATGGCCAAAGCTGGTTCGTGGAAGGCAACAAGAAGGATTAACAACAGTGCAAGAACTGAAAACTTAGAAAAAATCATGGCTGCCTGCTTTTACATGAATGAAGAAGCACCCGAATAGAAAAAAGGCTGATATATATATTTTTGTATGTATGCAGTTTTGTAAAAGAATCCCATTAATAGCAGAATTATTCAAATTATATGAGTCCTGTAATAGAAAATAGTCTATTAATTAATCATAAAAAAAAATACAAGAATCATTAATAAAATAAAGAGTCATTAATTAATTCATGTAATATGATTTTTCCAAAGTTAGAGACTTGGTTGAATTCAATTACCTACGTACTTAATTAGAGGGATTAGAATTCTAAATTAGTGAGTCCAACTATTATATCGTGCAATATTCCCATCATATCATAATAATAATTTATTATTTTTTTTATGCCCTAAATTTAGTACTTAAAATTTACATTTTTGGATCTACAACATATTTGATGGTACGTAAGTAACACAACTCTCTCACTTTTAGTATTAATATTAATATATTTAGCATTTTTATCTATTATTTTTCGATCTAAATTAGTGATTTGTATCTAGGATTAGGATTCTAAACACTTATGTCATGATTGGTATACTGAAATGGAATTTCGTAGGAAATGAATGAACTGAAGAATGGAATGATTATGAGAATTTAATGAAACAAGTTTTGTCATTGATGCGTTTGATATGCAGAAGGAATAAGATCATCTGAATGGAATAACATTATCATTTTTTATTATAAAAATAAATAAAAGGTTTTTTTAGAAAAAAAATATATTTTAATAAATTATATATAAATGTTTTTCTAATAATATGTAAAAATAAAATAATATATTTTTAATAATATATAAAAACAAAATAATATATTTTTAATAATATATAATATAATATATTTTTAAAAATATAAAAAAATAAAATAACATATTTTTAAATTATATATAAAAATAATATAATCTTAAAAGTAATATATGTTTAATATATTAGAAATAATATATTTTTATTTTTTAATTAAACAATCAATAAAAGTAAGTTTTGAATTTTTTATTTGAATTTTATTTTTTAAAATAATATATTTTTAATAATATATAAAAATTAAAATTAATACATTCTTAATAATATATATTTTTAATATTTTTTAATACTATATTTTTAAAAGTAATATATTATATATAAATTAATATATTTTAATAATATATAAAAATAAAATAATATATTTAAATTATATATAAATGCTTTTTTTAGTTTTATTTTTATATATGTATTTAATATATCTAATTAAACAATAAATAAAAGTAAGTTTCTAATTTTTTATTTTAATTTTATTTTTAAAAATAATTTTTTTATTATATTTTAATCATGATTTATAATATATATTATATATTTATTTTTTATTATTTTTTTTTTAAAAAATTGATTCCTACACACAAGGGAATGAAAAAATTTTCCATGAACTAAGGAATGACTAATCCCATGGACATGAGTTTTGTCATTCCTTTAAAAAATATATACCAATCATAGGATAGGGAATGAGTGAAAGAATGATCATTCCATTCCTATGTCATTCCTTCATACCAATCATGCCCTTATACTTTTTTTTTTATAAAAAAAAATGTATATGAGGGAATAATTTATATATATTGGTTCCATTGCATCGGTGTATTTAAATTTAAGACGTGAGAGTCATTCCTAGCCACTAAATTGGTACAAGATGTGTGGCCAAGATTTAACTTTTCATTTAAATAATAATTCTTTATCTTTATTATTTAATTTCTTAATATTAATGATACGCGATAGATTGACATGTGGTCTGCATCACATTCTTTGAGAATATAGTATGTCTCACTGCTATGAATAATTATAATTCGTGATTGACATATGAATACTTTAGAGCGTATTGGCATATCCTACCAATAAACCATTTGTTTATGTGTCTATGGGAGTATCAGTGTGTGGAATGGTGTAATAGTTCTTTGACTTAGGTTAATACGCAATTCATGTATAGAGTGATTTACTTAGACCTAGTTCAACGCTTACGTCCTTATGGGTAGACACGGGCTTGTGTTGGATAGATCACGATATACATGAAATTGGTAGTTGAGCCAAAATAAGATTCATTCCTCGAATACAGTTTCGAGAGAACACTCGTTTGCTCTATAGTGGGTTGATAAAGTCATTGGACAATGCACGTGATTATATTGAAATGACGTTCAAATATAATTGATAAAATCAACAGTGATATCAGAAAACGATTAAGTTGTTTGGATAGACACCAAGGAAACAAATAGCGCGCTATAGCGGCTCAAACCAACTAACGCGACGCTATCTTCCATTTCTGCGCTATACGCGCTATTGGCGATATAGTGCTCTATAGCGCCGTGATGAAGGACTTCCGCATCACGCCGCTATAGCGCGCTATTGCCGCTATAGCGCGCTAAATCGCCGCTATTGCTGGCCGACCCAAAAACATGGTGTTATATTCGCACGCGCCCTTGTTTTGTTCAATTTGTTACCTGAAGAAGAATGCTAGCATCATCTTGTGAAAGTTGAATTTGATCTATGATGCTTTTGATTGCTTTATTCAGCTCAGTATATGTATTCTTTTTTTTTTTGTTGTTGTTTTCTTTGATTATTTTGTACGACGATGTTTGTATTAATATACACGTGGAGGTGAAATTGAGATTTCGATGTTATTAGGAAAAATTTGAAATTTTTTTCAGTAATTTATTTGTGGTATCTGTTGGAACCCACGAGGATCTCGATATGCACAAATCACGAACAAACATTCAACATAAACCTATGCGCAGCGGATCTAAAGGTTTGATGAAGAAAACTTACTGCTTAAAATTTATGTAGATATGGCTGGCCCGGACAGTTGACCGCAAATCAAATCTTCTCGGAATCGAATAAACTTGACCAATCCAGAAAGCTGACGTCACGGCGAAGTCAACGGCGTTGACCGATCGGAAATCGGCAATCTCGACGGCGATCTCTTCGTCTCGTCGTCCTGGTCGTCGTGGTATGGTCACTTGCTGGTTTTGGTCTCCAGTTTGGATGTATGATTGGAATCTCTATATACCTTAAGATCTTATACTGTATTCTCAAACAACTTTCTAGATCTTGTATCAGTGGAACACAAGAAATAGAAGAACTCCTTGGAAGAGAGAGAAAGAGGGCTGGACGATTTTTCCAAATTGTGGGATTCTTCTCTTCCATGAGCCTAATGCTGTATATATAGAGTTACAGTAGGGACCCTAAG